TTAATGTTCGGCTCCGCCCGAACTTAAACTTTCTTACTTGTTTTTATTTAAGTTGAAAAATGAAAGAAACAAAATCTTTGCGTTTGAATGATTCCAATTTTTTGGAAAATACTTGAAATTAATTTCAAATGCCTGGAATTGTTTGAAAAATTATTCGTGAACATTTTTCTATAGGATACATTTAATTAAAAAATGTATTTCATCTGTTATCTATACTATTATATATTTTGAAAGCCGTTTTTTTTTTGGTTTTTTTCTGTTCGAAAAACTCCAGAACAGCTGTACCGATATTTTTGAAATTTTAGACATTGACTTCAGACTATCCAAGGATGATAATAGATGAAAAGCAATTTCGAAATATTAAGGGGGCGTGGCACTTCCCATACAAACTGAAGTTTTAACACAACATATCTCTGGAAGTATTCATCGTAGAGTGCTGCAACTTAGTACAGAGATATATAATATTAAGGTCAAACTTATGAAAAAATGGGAGTTATTGAAAAAGGGCGCATGGCACCTTCCATACAAACTGAATATCTCGCACTACATATACATTCTAATGTGAGAAATGGAGTTTTTTATGGATAGTTTGCAAGAGTTTATTTGTATTTATCTATGTGTGAATTCTAAATTGTAACCAAATCAATTTTCGCATCTTACAGGTCGTGGAGGTGGTCTCGGTGGAGGTGGAATGGGTGGCGGTGGCCTCGGCGGAGGTGGAGGAGGAGGAGGAGAAGGCCTACTTAGCGGCTTAGCTAGCGGTTCGGGTATGATGGGAGGCAGTGGGGGAGGTGGCGGACTCATGGGTGGAGGGAGTGGAGGCAATGGCGGCGGTGGTGGTCATCGGGGGCGTTATCGTAAGCAGAAACAGGATAAGAAGCAATTCCAAATGTATATACCAATGTATTTGGCGGCAACAACCTTTGGCTGGACTATGGTTGTAGCAAAGGCGGTTGGCTTGTTGACGCTTAAAGCATTAGCGGTATCGAAATTGGCATTTATAGTAGCGGCAATGGTGATAGTGAAAAAGCTGATGGATAATGCTTCGGAAAAGTGAGTATTTTGTAAATATGTATTTTAGTAAAATCTCACAAGTGTATTAACTCAAAATTTGCTATGAGTCAGATATAACAAAAAAATTTCTAATCTCAAACCTAACTTCAACCTCAAACTTATTGTTGATGGTAATCCTAATGTAAAGCTTAATCCAATGCTAAGTTTTAATTTCAACCTCAATCTGAAAGTAAATCTAAAACTTAACCTTAATCTAAAATGTTAATGTTAATGTTAATGTTAATGTTAATGTTAATGTTAATGTT